CTACTGCTACTGTTACTGTTAATATTACTGCTACTGATACTGCTACTCCTACTCCTGCTCCTGCTCCTACTACTACTACTACTACTACTCCTGCTACTACCCTACGACAACGACTCCGACTTCTACTATCACTGCTACCACTGCTACCACAGTTTTCACTGCCACGGCTATCACTGCTACCATGGCTATCACTACCACTCCTACTACTGCTTGCTGCAGCTACTACTACTTGCGCCGAAACGACGAATACCGCTCTCCACCAGTACTGCTTCTACTTCTACTCTTGGAATGCCACGTACCCATAACAGTCCTACTCCGGAGTTACTGCGGCTGACCGCTGAGGTGAAAGCCACACCTGGACCACGAGACGATGTCGTGCTCGAGGGTCTTCATTAGCAGAGCGAAAGACCGGGGCCCTTGCATTCCAGGTCCAGTCCGTCCTGCACGTCCCCGGCGTTGGTTGGCCTCTAGCGTGTCCCGAGTCTTTTGAGACCCAGTACCATGTTTTGGGGCCGCTCTGAACCTTTATCTGGGGTTCGGGACTGCTGAGGCCGTGACATTTGCTTGTGAGATGGGTGTCACCTGCAAGCTGTCCATACCTGGCTAGCTCATTTCTCTCAACAAGCTATTCGCCAACCACTTCCTAAAGGTTCACTAAAACTGAGCACTAAATTTGCAGGTAGCTTGACTTGGTGCATCCTGAGCATGGCGCCCATCTTAGGATTGTAGATCTTGAGCTTGCAGTAGCCTGAAACAGCTTGCCCGTGCAACCAAGACAGCATGTCGGCATGCTCGCTGCACGACACCAAGACACATGCAGCAAACAAATGCCATGTTGCTCAACGGCACGCGCGAGCAAATGCTATGTGTCACGGCCCTGCAGCTTAAACGCTGTCTGGCAGCTGTCCACCGAAACGTGAGTTTCTCACAGCTTCGGTCCTAGCTAGGTCGAGGCGTCCCAAAATATTCACCTCAAGATTCTTTAACAAGGCCAAAAGCAAGTGGACACCAACGACCCTCCTTGAGAAAGTATTGAAATAAGAATTGAAATAAGAATGGAGTGCATTGGGCATTATTGAACATAGCATGGAGTGCGGGAACTAGATCCTGCCAGCCTGGTGTCGGCAAGTCTGCCCTCCTTGCTGATTAAACAGAAACCTTGACATGGCCCGGCCACCCGGCAAATGTGCCGCTCAAAGCACAGCACACCGCACCATGTGACAACAACACTCACGCTAGGCAAGAGCTGCTGTTGAGCTCTCACCTCTACGACGCTGCACCTCAGCTACGCTTTTCGAAGGCTGCCAACCGGGCCTCCATCTCTTTGAGATCAGGATCGGCCTTGATTTCCTTGTTGCTGTAGCCGAATTCGGTGCGCAGCTTGGCCTTGTACACTTCAATGTCGCCTTGAAGCTGTGCATACTCCTTCTGTTCTTCGGCACTAAGCGGGGTCTTCTTCTTGGCATCCTTCTTGGCGTCCTTGTCCTTCTTGGAGCTACCTGGATCCTGCTTTTCCTTCAGCTCGTTCAGGCGAGTCACCATGGATACTATCTTCTCGTTCTTGTTGATCTGGCCGCCGCTCATGCCCTGCTCTTTCAGGATGGCCTTCTCCTCGCACAGGGACCAAGACATAATCATTCAATACGAGCCCAGAATCACGAAGAGACTCCCGATCAATGCCATCCCACACTGCGTGCTCAGAAACCTGTGCCTCTACCTGAACCAGACATCACCTTATGCCTGTGTTTATGCAAATGGCATGCGACACTCGTCCTCGATAATCTGCTGCTTCAAGCCTTCGAGCTCCTTGAGCTCATCGGGGCTGAGGCCTGCGCTCTCCTTCTCTTTCTTCTCCTTCTTGCTGTCCTTGCGGGCCTTCTGCTCAGGGGCCTCCTGCACGGTCTCCGGCTTCTCGATCTGCGGAAGCACCGCCGCCTTCGTGACGAAGTGGCCGAACCTCTACTCTTATGTCGCTGTTTCGCTAGTAACCCTCACACTATTAAACACTTCTTGGGGATCCTTCCTCGGTTCAACCGGATCAGAAAGAGTGATCTGGGCGCGGCGAGAAATACTGATCTGTATATAGCCCGCACAAAAGTTATTTGCGGCGGACAAAATGGTGCCCTGCACCCGCTGTAGCCTGAAGAATAATGATCCGCAGCACGCGACATTTTTTGGCGCTGGCGCTCGCGCTCGATCCAGCCAGGCAAGGCGAGGTTTGTGGCGGGTTACAGGGTTTGCTGGAGCCCGACTCAGCTCATTTCGAGCCTCAACAATTCAGATCACTTCAGAAAGCGACATATTGATCTGCCGCAGAAGAATGATTTGCAGCGGGCAAATAGCGATCTGTAGTCCGCAGACTTTTGAATCCTGGAGTGATCGGGACCGGAAGCAATGATTTTGGGGTGAGCCGGGAAAGACAGACTGATCGGACCAGGCCAGACCGAGCCTGCGGCTTAAACCTGGGGCCCAGCGCTTGCTTGACCTAGGCTTAGGCCCAAACCGGCCCGGGCCTACCAAACTTAGACCAGCGCCCCTTTAACGGTCGTCATTGGGAAACCCGAATACTATTTGTGAGCTAAAACAGATTGCAATTTAAGGGACGCTGTTTGCCCGCCTCCCGATCACCATTCCAGGAGCCATGGCTTGCTCCAGTAGCATTCATTCATTTATGATTAGAGCATTCGCAACATGCACCGCAACGGTTGCCCGACGCCGGCGAGACAACTCTACTCCTTCATGGCACACTAAAGACCTCATTCCCTACGAAGTTGTGTGTGTCAGAGGCGAACAACATACACAACAGAATTGCTGAAAAGGGACTGCTTCTGAATAGTCAAGGAACTTTGGCTCAAGCCCCTTGACAATCTTGCAGGCATCCACGTACTTGTGTTCGTTCTTCAGCTCGGCTATCTCCTTCCCCTTGGCCGAGCGCTCCTTTTTGTTGTCTTTGCCAGTCAGCTGGTTCGATTCCGTCTCCAACTTGGCGATCCTTGTCTCAACCTCTTTCTGATAAGCCTCGGCCGCGGCGCTGTCGTACTCAGCACCGGAGGCCTCCGTGGCTTTCAGCAGCTTCATGCCCATTTCTGCCTGCAATTCGAGCGCCCCACCCTTGACTCGGCCATCGACGGCGGCCATATGGAAGAGGGAGCACGGCGGTAGGGCGTAAGGCACAGGTCGATGCAAAAAATGACTTGGGAAGTGTAGCATGAAGCAATCCCACGACAGGCAGCTTTCGAGATGACTGACCAAAAAATTATGTCTGCAAACTCAAATCGTCATGCCATTGAATCCTCGCCCCTCTCCCACAGAATCGCCTGTGTCGATCACATACTTAATGCCATCCACCGTGAGCGAAGTCTCTGCGATGTTTGTGGCCTCACAGAGAAAGCATGGCCTACCATAGCGGCTGGGTATGCAAAGCACTGCTGGGCAGAACTGTTGCAAGCAAGATACCACGATCACCTTTCGTTTGTCGCTGCTCTCGAAAATCTTGGCCTGCACGGCATTACAAGCGGACGCGTGCTTTCGGAAATCAGGCCTGGTGAGCGAGTGAGGCCTGCAAGTCCGAGGGGAGCTGCGAGTAGATCGGCAAAATGGACACGGGCGGCACATTCTCACCAACCTGTCCACGAGTGCCGAACGATCCATAGCTTGAGAGTGCCTAATGCCATGAAAATGCAAACCGTAAAATGAGCCTGTGAGATGCGGTCCGCTAGCAAAACGCACGTGGCCTGACTGCAGGCGCATCTTTTGCTGAGAGACTTGGCCACTGAACTCTCCAAGTGCTTTCCACCTCAATGTCCTCTTGCCCAGTCATGAAGATCAGGACCTTTGAGATCCAACCGTCATGACAGGGGCGGACCCGCGGACCCTGGCCACGCTTGCTGGGGATCGGGCATCTCCCTGATCCTGACCTGGAGACAGGCTTCATGCAGGATGCAACGAGCTGCGAGAAGAGAGATGGGGGAGAGCTGAAACGAGATATGCCTGGTGTGCATGTCATCATGCTTTACACATTGGCACTAAACATGACATGCATCCCTGTTCAAACCATCCTTCGAAAGCTGGGTTCGTCGGCCAACATGGATTGCGATCGCCTGCTGCACTGCGGCATCGACATAGTCCTGTCCAATGCAGGTCTCGATTCCCCATGTTAAAGCACAGGAAGCGCCACAACGACTCCAAAGTCGCTCCAGCCGACCTACTTCGGACCTACTTCCACCAAGCCCTCTGCAAGGCCACCTGAGCTGTACTTCTCGCATAGAAGGTATCCACCTGAGCAAGTAGCTGTCGAGCACGCACAGCCGATTCACAACACCGCATCTGCGGAAAACCGGGAGCCGGACAGGAAACGTTCGACCTCCAGGGCACATCCCTCGCTCCCGAACCGAAGCGACAGGCTTCAATCCTACAAGCAAGCCTAGCATAGAATACAAGTAGTTGAGATGGCGGTTCACATCAGTAAGTAGGGATCAAGATTGGGCCAAAATGCGAATCAGCACCAATCACAGTATTTGTAGATGGGATATCAGTAAGCCTCGAGATTGGGAACACTCATGCACTCATGCGACTCGCGGTTCGGTAGCCATTGCTATAATCCCAACTCTTCCGGCATGCTCGGCAAGTCCCCAAACCATGTCTCGTCAAACAGGTATCTGGTATCCCGAAATGGTGTCTGCATGAAGTCTCTTCCACTTCCACTACCGCAAAGATCTGCTACATGGCCTAGAGTCGGAAAGGCTCCCTGGCCAAGGTAAAGACAATCAATTCCACTGTGATTTGCATCGCGGGGTATCGCGGGCACCGTGAGCTACCTAGGACCTAGGTGATGCGATCGCGAAACGCTCGATCTAGAAACGTACTGGTGAAGCAAGACAGGAGAACTATAGTTTCAACTGCACTTGCTAACAACGTCCTTGCATAATACATGTTGCGTTCATGCAGAGTGCATTGGCAGCATCACCATGCATCGTCACCGAACTCGCCTTTATCAGGCATGTATTGGCGACAGTCCGAAAGCAAGACTTCTGTGCAAAAATACTACACGAGCCGCTGGTGAGCACGGCTTCGGATTGCGTCGACATGGTTCTGCTGAGCATCAAAATCCCGTCTGGTGCAAGTTGTGGGCCGGCCTGGGATGTTAAAGACAGGCACGTTGCCAAAGAACCTGGGATGTCAAAGGATCTGAATAGTTCCAGAATGATGCTGCAGTGACATTATGCTGTGGCGCCAAGTCACGCCGCGAATTTGTCTGCATCCATGGTGGCTGACGTGATGATCAGCTTGAAGTCATGCCGGCGGCCAACTACAGTCCGCAGGATCTCAGCGCGAAGCTGGCAGTGGTGTAACAGCTGATGGATCTCGCACTGGGTAGGTGTAACCGTCAGAGCAAGCATCGCTTGCCAATTATAAGCCTTACTAGCCTGCCTTAGTGACAGCCTCAGCGCAATCGACTCATAAGCTCCCAGCTCCGAACAAGACGTCTGTGTTGAGCGAGCGCTCGTGCGCTTCGTCCATGATGACCGCCTGACTTCTTTGCTTTTGATGCCACTCCCAAGCCCTCCTACTGTTGGACTCTCGCTATACAGTTATGGGGCGAAGCCCGTCCCAGAGCTTGCATGGGATCTTTCATATGAAAAGAAACAGGGCATCAGACTTGGACCTTTGAGGACCTGACACAATATCTGTCCAAGTCCGGCTCAAACAAGGTTTCTCGCAGAAGCACGCCATCGGTCATGTACCTTGAAGCGGGCGCCGGACTCAACCAAGCGGTGCACCGGTGCTGCTGCAATGACCCAGACCATCCCATATCCATTCATCCCAGATCTCACAACATCGACAAGTGACTTGATGATAGTCGACTCGCTGGTGCAGTCCTGCACAGGCAATAGCCTTCAAGAAGCGATGCAAGTAAGATGGCAGCCGAACATCGAGGGCAAGTCCTCGAACCGAATGGAGTAGCCCACCTGCATGCTGAGAATGCAAGCAGACACCAAAGTCGGATTTTTTCCTCCCTACCTAGCAAGGGCGAGCCCGCATTGCAGGGTCGGATGCAGACAGCGGTTCGCACTGTACGCCTGGTTAACTGGTCTGACAGAAGATCTTGGTTGGTTGCACCAGGTCTTGGGGAACATCTGCATGCCATGTTCTCCGAAGTGCAGGAAGATCACAGTCTTCCGCGTATATTCAAAGCCAGTCAATCAATCACGCTCATCATTGACTCTTCATGGCTTGTGCCTTTGTGCCCAGTTCACAGCCCATCTCGTCCGCGACGCGCTTCGCCACGGACCTGTTGGAGCCCGATTCCGCCATGTTGACAGCAAAGACACGCAAACAGCACAAGACTGTGCTCCCGGCACAGCTGCAACACGGCGAGGCTGTGTGCATCCGATTTGGCCGTTCACCGAGTAGCCAGCTTCGTGCAGGTACCTCACGCACCCCGCATGCAATGTCACTGCAAGGGCTGCTCCTGGCTTTCGAATCGGCCCGCCGGAAAGCTGCTATAGATTGCACCACGTCTCGAAGAACTGCTGTCGAGTGCATGCACTTCGAAGTCGGAGCATGGGAGCAAGCCTGTATATTGGGCCTAGCATGCATCTCAAGCATCGGGTGCTGAGTGAGCTGTGTCGTCTTTCCCGATCCAGTCTCGCCGACGCAAATCATGACCTGCAGGGACATGAGACACGGCTTCGTGATTCCAACAGTCGCCTCAAGGCCGTCTCGGGAGCCAAGTGACGTTGTGCTCACGCAGAAGGTCGATGAGCTCTTCCCGCACCTTGAAGACCTGAGCCCAAACGATCAAGGCCTTCTCAGAGATTCCCAGAGAGCATCAGAGAGTCACTGCCGAACTCACACGAAGAAGGCTCAAGCATTGCATAAGAGGGCGGAGGCACATCGCCAATCTGTGGACTCACCGTGCTAGGCCGCCAGCAGGAAGGCTTCGTCTCTGCTGCTGGATCGACCGCGTCTTCGCAAATTCCGACTGGGCCTCAGTTCCGTGCGTGGATTGCTGTTTCGGAACAACGTTGTCTCGGAAAATGTTGTCGTCGGTGGTGACAAGAAGCCGATCAAAACAGCAACTATCAGTCCTGCTAATGCGGCCATGCATCCTCTGTCTTTTGGTTCTTCAAGGCTTGGCCGTACTGGTTGCTGGCCTGAGCTGACAAGGAAGGCAACTGACGTGTTGTATAGCTGGCTTTGGTTCTTTAAGCGAGAACTGTTCACGCAAGAAGAATCGAAAACATTGAAAACATCGCCTACCAGAAGAATCGGGTATGAGACATCATGACGGCAGCTGCAAGAAACAAGACATCATGCAGTTACTTTGCCTACTGCCCGACTCTATCCTGCGGTGCGACATCATTTCCCGTGCTTCCTGAGGTTTGCCCTGGCATGTCCAGCATTGTTCCCAGCCTTGTGGTCAAACTCATCGTCTGAAACGTCGTCCTCCTGCTTATCCGTGTCCGTCTTCCTTATGGAGACAGCTGCTGCCGTCAAAGTCAACAAGCGCCGTTGGGCGTGCGACGGCAAGCAAAATTATCCGTGATTCAACGGCGACATAGAAACCTTGTTGCAGAGCTGAACCACGCCATAATCGGCTGAGCCACTTCTTGACGCCCATCACGTTGCCCATGTTGGAGCCTGTGGCAGCTAAGGCTTCTTTTTGTGCCCCCAACTCTTCCCCGAACCGGGGGCAACCGTGGGCAGCCCCCGAGGCTCCCCAGCGCCTGCCTGCAAGTTCCCAGAAACGTTGCCGGAACCTCTGTCGGCATCATGGAGACATGCTTAGAATGCAATCAAGCAGAGGCTCGGCATTCCGAATCCAAAAACACAAAAAAGTGCAGAGCTCTTGGCTTGCTCTGGTCTTGCTCCTCACGCACTTGTCTGACCTCTGTCGAGCCGAGGGTGTGTCGGCGCTCGTCAACGTCGGCGCTCCGCGAAAACAAGCCGAAGGCAGATCCAGCACTGGGGTCGGGCACCACCTTCGAGCCCTGCTTGCAGAAGACAGCCATGTCGGACGTCGGATCTTTGACGGCACTCCTGATGCATTCAGTGCGTTGTCAGCTCAGGCGTGTATGCCTTTGGTGTCAATCCGTGAAGATGGCGCGATGGCCTACTGAGGCCTAGGCACTGCCTCTGTTTGTGTGGTGAAGACCTTGCGGCCGTCCAGGAACGGTGGCGTCGTGTCCCGGGTCTCAGCGTCGCAGCCAAAAAATAAACTGTCCTCTAGGTGTTGAAAGTCAATCATAATTGCCCGAGCTGAAGCTTCCAGATGGCTGAGGCTGGCACAACAACGGCAACACCTCACATGCATTTTCCGGGAATGGGCCGTGCAATCCGATGCTGCAGCTCACCCCGGTATGAGCTTTTAGAATGCTCCGGGACGACTAAGACCATGGGCGCTTCTCTTCGTCCTCTTTGGAGAAGTCCAAGTTTACCTCCTTCCGCTCTGCCAAACCCATGGCCCCGAGCCTCGGCAAGTCGAGGGACCAGACAGGGCACACAACCAACAGTCTCATCTCGGACGCGGGCCTGTTAAGCTCCCAAAGCTCGTTGGCTTCGTTTTTTTGCTGCTGCCGGATATTCACCCGGGCAACCTTGGAGGAGGGTTGTGGCTCGAAAAGTTGCATCGCCGGGCGTCACCACAGAGTCAAACGCCGAAGCCAATTGGCGCTTCTTCTTCTCTTCCTTCTCGGCCTGCTTGACATCAGAATGCACGACGACAAGCACTTCTGCTGTCAGGCAGACTGTTAGCTGGAGTTTGCATCCGTCCATGCTTGCGCCGCAAAACCACCCATCCTGACCTCCTGCACTGGGTCCATCGCGTCCATGCCCTGAGCAGCCCCACCTTCTTCGGCCTGGTGCTTAGCGCAGCCTATTGTGCTGCTGGATCATGCAGCTGAGAGGAGCAAGCGTGACGATGTTAGGATGGCTGACATGGCACATGCAGCACGTCTCACACCGATTCAGAGTTTCGTTTGTTTAGGCGAGACTCTCAGGGTTCCTTGCACTGATCGCCCAATGCCCCAGCTTCAAACCGAAACGCGTGTCTAACATAGTTGGGTTCGGCGCTCATTCTCGAACATGCCAGGCGGGGTTCTTGCTGCTTAGTTGGTTGGAGGTGAGACCTACGATCGAGTATGGTCACGGACATTGTCTAAATATATAACCAGTCAAGCACACTCAAATACGGTTCTCAGGTTAAAAACTGGCCAGGCTTGTTAGGAGGGTGTGTCACGCAGCGGGACGCCTGCACACAACGCGGCTTTTTTGGTGAAACCTATGCCTCGACTGTGCTGCTCCTGGTTGCCTTGTCTAATATGTTCGACCCACTGCTTAAGATGGGGTCCAAACACAATGTAAGACTTAAAGTATAACTCCGCTACCGATTGCCAGGTTCGGAACAGCTAGACTGAAACTCAACTTCGGGGCTCCCTGGTTTCTTTCGCCCATAGCCATCCATTGTACCAAACCAACTTGTCGGGTCCATGTTAAAGTCTCTGGGCTCACACGCATGCACTGAACTTAGCACCCCTGGCTGTGGGGTTACCTCTTTCTCCAGATCTCGCTACTTTGCTACCCGACACTGCACTCGGTGATCGTTTCTACAAGGACGTCTCTGATCACAAGCTGACATAGGGTGAATAAGTCTGCACAGGATGGTAAGCACTTTGGCCCCAGCATGCCCGCTCTTCATTCCAAGGGGGGGAGCTCTACAAAGTTAGTTTCAGCTAGGGTTCGGGAGCCATATCGGCTGAACGACCGAGGGCGGAGAGATGTGATAGAAGGAGTGGACAGAGGCAGGATCGGAGGATTGGGAGATGATTGTGTTCGTCTCTTCCACACGGGCATCTCGTGCTCCACCTGTAAACAAATGTGCTTGAGCCACAATGAAGCCTTGGGTTTGAGGTTTCCTGGTATGGCCCCTACTAACTACTATATGTGCCGGAACCCAACCCCACTTGCTCAAACCCCCTCCTTCGCCTCCAATGACTACATTATATCCAAAGATGATTTTACATAGAATCTGTTAACCCAGCAGGCTGAAACCTCTGAGCATCCGGCCATGTACCAGTCACGGTCCAGTTTGCCTTCAAGGTCTTGAGTCGCAAACAGGTGCAATGGTCGACATGCTGTGCCCTCCGACGTGAGACATCTATCAGCAGTCCGTCGGGATACAAGACCTCACCATTTCGATTCTCCGTCAAATCTTCGCCTTCCTCGTACTCATCGATCTCAGCTTCTGCTTTGATCTTTTCTTCAATCCTGGTAGCGCTTGATTCCATGCTGATCGCCCTGCATCTGCCTGCTACCGTACTCTTCACCAAAATGTTCGAATCATGTAGTACGACTGTATTGCTGACTGACAAGACATAACATGAGCCATCAGCTTGAGGCGAACTATCGCGTAAGCTCTTCACTCGTTCTTCGTCATGACTTGCTCGGTGATGTTGTGGTACCTCCGTAGCTTCATGCAAACAGTCTTGGAATTTGGAATTCCACTTGTGGCTTGTCAGCGCTGAGCCACGGCTGCATGAACGCGAGAAAGAACGAATGGATTCGGCTGCACTTGACGATAGCATGCGGACGGATATGAAGTAAGACGGATAAGGAAAAGATATGCCTCCAGCATCGTAGGGAACATGATTCCGACCGCATAGACTTGCAGCAATGTTGCCGAACACACCCAGGTTCAAAGACCCTTCACGCTTCATGCGGCTGGGCACTGCAAGTCCTTGTTGTCACGTGTCTTTACCCGTGACTTGTCCTTGTAGCAGGCCGCAGCTGTCCAGAAGAGTCTAACGGTCTAACGGTCCGCTCATGCCGGCGACTGTGACATGTCATGAGGTGCCTGCTTGGCTGCTTCGCCCCAGCTTGACCACACATATCGCACTAGCCCATAGTTCTCCATGCGCCTCACCCGGCTCGAGCTTCACTTCGTCCTCCTCCTTGATCTTGGCCTTGTTGCCCTTGAAGAGCAGGGGCCTCTTGCAAGCCAGAGTGCAGAAGCGACGCATGCCACCTAAACACACCGCTGCTACAGAACCAAGGTATGTGGGATATGACTTGGGCGCACGCTGTCCGGCAAGAGGGCCACGCCCGGCTTCCTTCTTCCCAGTGTCGTCATCTCGGAACAAAAGAAAAGAAACGTGTGGGCTTGGATGGGCTGGGTGTCTCGTCGGTATCGGGGCTTTCGAAAGAATAAGGTACGGTATACGTCGGAGGTGGCGCGAGTTCCCATCTAGCGCCCTGGCAAGAAACATCAACAAACTGAATGCAGGCAAGCACAGCTTTTTCCAATGCGTGGAAAACCGCCTCCCAGGACAGCACGGTTTCGAAGCAAGCATCCATCCAAATTCTGATTAACTCCTGTGTACAGCGCGAACATATCTGTTCTGCGAGTTTCAGCGTGAAAGCACACTTTGTGCTTTCGTTTTGCACTGCGAGGTGTTGCGACTGTCATGTAACAAGCACATGCTCCGTTCAGAAGCTTCGCAACCTTACAGACATCGAGAACATCGAGAACCAAGTCGTGGCGCACTGCAGCCGCGTCAACCGGATTTGAAGTGAGACATTGGCAGCAAAGGTGGGAATTCATGGAATCACAAAGAACTTCTTCATGGCAACAGGCGACAAGGTGAGCAAACACGAATTCCACCAGCATACCGGCTGACTTGAGATGCGGCCCAAGTCAGTCTGCAGCTCCACAAGCTGCAGCGCACTTGGCTGCCTGTTTCATGAACTTCAGCACTGCACCCTGCGAACCTCCCCACAACCCCTCTCCATTATCATGCTGAACAGGAGTGGCGAAGTGACGTTTCCTTTGTGGCGCTGTGCTCTCTGAGGTTCGGGCTTTCCAGTGAGACTTTCAGTCATCAAGCCGAGCAGTCATTGAATGCCTGCCATATGCACCAGAGTCTGGGGGCGGGAGTCCAAAAAGGCAGGAACTTGACTAAACGAAACAACTTTTGGAGAGTGTCGGCGTGGCGGGGGGGGGGTGCTAATCCGTCTGTTCCACTCGTTCCACTCGCGCCAGCCGCTCCGACCGTTCCACTCGTTCCAATCGTGGCACTCGCCCTGTATGTTACCTGCTCATCCCTTTTGTCTACAGCGGTGCGATTGGCTTCAACTCATCGCCCCCCCTCCCTTGTGCATTCGCACTGTTCTGGGGTCGGCAATGAATCAATGTTCCAATGGCTCTACTCGCTCCACTCGCCCTGTGCCTTACCTGTTCCACTCGTTCCTGTTGCTTGGCTAGGGCGCGAGTGGCGCGAGTGGCGTGAGTTGCGCGGACGACTTTAGTTTTCCCCCGCCCTTGTCGCGGTGGCAATATGTGGTGTTTGTGTGTGTGTGTGTATATATATATATGTGTAAATGTACATATACCAACATCACATGTCGAACAAGCTGAAGTTGTGCATCCACTGCACATCCCAAAGATCTTGACCAAGCCTACAACTACGCAACGCACCGAAACAGGAAACTCGTGTTCCCGTGAACCTCACCCGGCACATGAATTCCGTATAGAAGTACAGCCACATACAGTGCTCACAGACGTACTCAAGCAAGCATTGATCACACCTACATCGACGGGTTCAACGATTCCAGTCTAGGGGCCCCTGCCGTGCGGATCCTCTTATCTGGGTTTCTGCTTCAAAGCTTAGGGTTCTGGTTCAGGGCTTACGGGCTGGGGTTCCGGGTCGTATGCTTTGTATAGAGACTCCAACAGCGAGCCTTGTCCACGAAAAGCATCTCCTTCCACGGCCTCTATACATGTTTAGATGGGAATCTTAGAAGAAGGGATGCACCTGATAGTACTGGACGCTCGGATGAGACTGGCCGGTCACGAACAAAACAAGTCCCTGCTCACTGGTGGCCCGAACTACTTTCCTTCGAGCTGTGTACCTTCAGAAAACACTTGCTACACTCTGCGCCCAGTCGAAGGGACCCGAGCCCCAACAGCCAATCCCAAAATCTCCAACCTGGAACCCTAAACCCTGGGCCCCGAAGCCTGCATTGGCCCTCAGTGTTGCCACGGGGTGGTTCTACACTGAGGCTCAAGCTCAGGTCTAAACCCTGAACCCCAAACCCCTGAAGACCGGACGCCTGAACAAATGAAGCCTTCAGCAGCCCATGAACCACCCCACCTCTCTGATGGCGGCGACAGCGTCTTGAAACGCCTCGGGTCCCGCTTCCAGCTGCCACATGGTTTACGGGGCATGAGAGAGGTGAGGCATGAGTGAGAGATATCAGGTTCCGGGCTTCAGCAGCTTGAGCGGCCTTTGGACTTTGGATAGTGACTCAGACTCTATACACACAAGCGACTAGTGCCAGCAACAGTAAGGAAAATGGCACAAGGTCCGGCAGCCTAGAAACCGCAGAGGTTTGTTCCACAGGACTGACCCTGCGGTAACCAAAACAATCATGTTTGCCCAAACTCTTTGGGTGTTCATTTTTTTGAACGTCTTTGGAAGCCGCGGCCGCAGGCCGCCGCAGGCCGATAGGAACGCCCAATGCTGTTCAGTAATTAATGGGTCCATCGATGACTCAATTTGGTCTGTTTGCAACTATGTAGCAGCGTAGCAACGATCTTCCCACGTATCCCTTTTTTGAAACCGGAACCCCCCAGTATCCCTAAACCCTATTAAACCCTAAACCCGGGTCCCCACGTCAGATCCTCAAGGGATTTGGCGGCCGAGAGGGTACGAGGCGCCGGGTTATAGGCGCCTACCCTTCTTGCATTTTCTTACTTGGCTTAGGGTTTAGGGTTTAGGATTGTGGACTCCAGTATTTGGCTGGGTTCAAACTTGATAAAGCTAGTGGCGTCCCCGCAATTTTTGTTGCACTTTTGGGGTGGAAATCGGCTCGCACCGCAGTCTTTGGCTCAATCGGGTTCTCAAAACTTTCGAAGTCGCCGAAATCCATGCAGGGCGCTGTTGGCGTGGTCCAGTGCGAGGTAACCGTGCTCCCGCCAGTAGAACTCCAAACCCACATCAAATCAACAAATGCTCCCTAAACTGCACCCTAAACAGCCAGGCCAGTCATTCTTGTTTTGTTTTTTACCTTTGCTGGCGCTAGTGGCTATGTGTTTTGGGTCGGGTTGCTGATATCCCAAGCATCAGTAAATGACCCATGAAGAGCACTGAGTACTTGCTTCGCATTTATACTGCAAGACTAGCATTGGCCTTGGTTAGCGACTTCATGGTTTTCGCACTCACAGCTCGGACAAGCCAGATGAGGTCACGGTTGGTAGTCGGATGCTTCCCAAGGCATGCGGAAGGTTGTATCCAGCCTCGAACCTTAGATCATAAATCTAGTAACTCTGGTACATAGCATGGCCGGTACCCTGGTTTAGAGGTTTAAGGTTTCGGGCCAACCCTGGGATTCTGCAGCCTTCGGCAGAGAGGCCTCCTTATCCCGAGCAGCGTCCGCACCGGCAGCCTTTCCTGCAATGAGGATTCCGTTGAAGGGCTCCTTAAAAAGCCTCTACAAGGGCTACTATACATGTTCGGGCTTTCGCAGCTTGGAGTTTGACTGTTTGTCTGTTCATTCTGGGTCCTTTGAGGGTTCTGCAGCCCGCTGTGGGTTTAGGGCTTTAGAGTTTGAGGGATTTAGGCTTTGAAGTTTGGGGCTTACAGCTTTTGGGGTTCTTGGAATTTAGGATGTAGCTGCTTTTCTGTTGAGGGCCCGCTCTGCAGCTCTCAGGCTCTAGACTCTAGAACTCTGAAGTGAACCTAAAGCACTGAGCTCAATTTCGAAAGTCACTGTAGCGTCTAGACTCTAGACCCTATAAAGTCCATCCTGAATCCGAAGCCTTGAAGCCTAAACCCCGAAGCCGTTTTAGGCTCTATAGGGTTTAGGTAAACCCTTAACCGGGAATCCTGACACCCCATCTAGCCTGGCTACATCCTACGAGGAGCCCGATATTGCACGAGGAGATCATTATAAGACTCCTGCAAAAACGCAGGCTCTGTAGGGGTACAGGTGAAGCGTAAGACTGATCGCTCACCGAACCCATTAGGCCCGGAAGTAGACTACGGCTCGTACTACCCCCTCACTTGCGTGTGGAAGCCCGAAACTGTTAAACCGCAGAATCCTGAAAGCCTGAACCTTGCAAACCCCAAACTGTCAATCCCAGCACCTGCTCCATCTCTTCCGTCGGCAGCCTGGAGTGTGGATTGGGGCTCGGGGGCTCAGGGTTTAGGGGTTTTGAGTTTTGGGCTTTGGGGCTTCGGGGTTCAGGGGTTTTGGGTTTTAAGGGTGTCTTCGGTCATTAGAATCTCTCCAGAGCTCGGAGCCGTAGAAATGTCCAGCCTGGGGTGTTCTGGCCTTGTTGCGTTGAAAGGTTGAAGCTTTGGGGAGTTTATTCGATGTCTGGTTGAAGCTGCTGGGAAGAGAAGGCTGTACTGGTCCGGAAGCTTCGGCGACCAGCGCTTTTGGGGCTTTTCCGTTTCTTCTGCGGGGCGTGTTTCGTTGAATCTAACATCGCCCCAACCCACAACTCCTCGACCCCAAAAGTGGACCCCCCTACGCCGCAAACCCTGATTGCACCCCAGACCCAGGGCACTCGCTTAACCACTCGCTCCAGTTGCCCGATTCTGACCTTGAACGTATCCACGGCCCCAGCAAAATCTAGCTGGTGGGAATCTCGAATGAATTCAGTACTGAATCTCACTTAATTTCATCTTACGATTAGAAGGCCTCGGATGTAAAGAACGTAAGCTAACAGGGTCGCCTGCTTGGAGCGCGGCTCAAGTTCCAATGCACAATGACCCCATGTGAATTTCTGAATGCATGCACACAAACACAATATATGTGTGTGTGTACGTACAGCGCGTGTGTACACGAATATGTGCATATAAATACATAGAC